CTGGGACCACAGGCGCCCACCACAACGCCCGGCTATTTTTTGGTTGCAGCCATCATTGTTGTTTGGCGGGTCTGGGCTGGGGATTCAAACCCGCAACCTTAGGTGTACGTGGCTGGCGCCTTAGCTGGTTGAGCTATAGGCGCCGAGCCCTAAACAACTTTTTTAATGTAAAATTCTGAATCACAAGTATCGGTTATAAAATTATTTGCTAAGGAGAGCTTCAGAATTTGGAAGGAAAACTCAGAAGATTTAAGGAACCTCAAGAGAAGGATGCAAACCAGCTGATTACCTGGAGTGAAGTAATTTTCTTTCCTCCTCAAAAGAATACAGGTTGAGTAACCCTAATCTGAAAATCCCGTATCTTCAAAATCCAAAACTTTTTGAGTACCTGCATGATGCTCAAAGGAAATGTTCACTGAAGTATTTTGAATTTCAGATTTTTATATTAGGGATACTCAACCAGTAAGTACAATGTAAATATTCCAAAATCTGAAAAAAGCTAAAATCCAAAACACTCTGGTCCTAAGCATTTTAAGGACAAGACAAGGAATACTCAAACTGTATTTGTATTTGGGGCTGAATATCCAATTAAACATCTCATGAAACAGTAAACACTCCCTAAAACCCTGAAGTTGGAGGTTTCATTAGTTCACAAGGCAATACTATGTAGTACTTAAAAATGATGATAAATGAGCTATCACGATAGATGACGTATATAAAGCTATAACATAAAACAGAAATCAGAGTATTTTATTTTTACAACAATATAAATCTATTTATAATATTTTTTGTTTAAAAATAGGGTTTCACTATGTTGCTCAAGCTAGAGTGCAGTGGCTATTCAGAGGTTAGACCATAGAGTACTAAGCCTCAAATTCCACGGCTCAAGTGATCCTCCTGCATCAGCCTCCTGATTAGCTGGGACTACAGGCATTTGCCACCTGGCCTGGTAACACTTCATTTGTGTTTTTTTCTTAAGAAACAGACTCTCACTGTTGCCTAGACTGGAGAGCAGTGGTACGACCATAGCTCACTGTGGCCTCCAAATGCTGGACTAAAGTGATCATCCTGTCTCAGTCTCCTGAGTATAGCTGGGCCTATAGGTGCAAGCCACCATTCCCAGTTAATTTTTTAAATTTTTTTATAGAGATGAGGGGGTCTCACTATGTCACTCAGGCTGGTCTTGAACTCTTGGACTTAAGCAATCCTCAACCTTGGCTTCCCAAAGTGCTGAGATTATAGGCATGAACCACCATATTGATCCTTTTTTTTTTTTTTTTTGAGATAGGGTTTCCTTCTGTCACCTGGGCTAAAGTACAGGTATTACCAGATATCATCAATAGGCCCAGCTCACTGTAAACTCAAACTCTGGGACTTAAGCAATTCTCCCACCTCAGCCTGGCCTTATAGGTACATGCCCCATGCCTAGCTAATTTTTTATTTTTGGTAGAAATAGAGTCCTTTTCTTGCTCAAGCTGGTCTCAAACTCCTGACCTCAAACAATTCTCTTACCTTGGCCTCCCAGAGTGCTAGGATTATAGGCATGAGCCACCATGCCAGGCCTCAGCCTTTTAAAAGTAATTTTAAAATGGTCACATAGGAAAAGACAAGACGATACACCAATATTGGTTGTGTGTAACATGTTTTTAGCAATATAGTCTTTACAATTTTTGCATTTAATAGTATACATGCTTTTTAAACCAGGAGCATATATTATAAAAAGTATATAAAATAATTTTTAAAAATCAGCTTTTTAAAATTTTCTAGGAAACATAATTTACCTAACGAGATTTTCTTTTTCCTCATGACACCAACCAATTCTGACATCAACTGGGTGTCCTATAACTCAACTCAGTTCTGACACTACCCAGCACTAGCAGTAGATGCTACAGTTTTAAGAGTTCAGGCCCCCAAATACCCTAACTTTGGGGACAAGTTACCAAGTACTTGGTCCCCAGGTCACCCACATTCCTCTCCAACTTGCTACACAGTTGAGGGTTCCCACAAGCTCCCAGTTCAGGTTCCATGACTTTCTAGAACTCACAGAACTCAGGAAAATGCTATCCTTATTATTACACTTTATTTTAAAGGATATAAATGAACACTCAGAAGAAGAGGTGAGCTGAGGTCTGGAAGGTCCTGAGCACAGGAGCCTCTGTCCCCATGGGGTAGAGTGTGCTTCCCATCCAGCCAAATGGAAGTATGTATTCACCAAATTGAAGCTCCCCAAAGGCCATCATTTAAGGGTCTTTAAAGAGGTTTCATTATACAGGCATGATTGATTAAATCACTGGCTGCTGGTGATCAGCTCAATCTCAGTCCAGTCCCTCTTCCTCCCTGGAGGCTGGAGGGTAGGGCGGAAAGTTCTATGCATCTAAATCAAGGCTTGGTGGACCAGCCCCATCCTGAAGCTAACTAGACCCATTAGACCAAAAGACGCTCCTTTCATCCTTACCACTCAGGAAATTTAAAGGGTTTCAAAGCCAAAAACCAGAGAAAAAGATCAAAATTCTTTCTACTATGCTACCCCTAATTTCTTTCCTTTTTTTTTTTTTAGATGCAGAGTCTCACTTTGTCACCCTCAGTAAAGTGCCATGGCGTCACAGCTCACAGCAATCTCTACCTCTTGGGCTTAGGCGATTCTCTTGCCTCAGTCCCAAGTAGCTGGGACTACAGGCACCCACCACAATGCCCGGCTATTTTTTGTTGCAGTTTGGCTAGGACCAGGTTTGAACCCACCACCCTTGGTACATGCGGCCGGTGCCCTACTCACTGAGCCACGGGCACCGCCCTACTTCCCCTAGTTTCTGAGCTGAGAGAGACTACAACAAGAAAATTCAGAAGCAAAGTCAGAAAGTAGGTTGCAAAAAAATAAAGCGTTGCCAGCCAGAAACAGGAGAGACAAAGAACTAAGACTCTGACATAGCTTATTACTTCCCAAATACATCACTATGTCATAACACAAGACAATTTAGTGCCCCCCATGACAATCTTTAGTTCCTAATAAATGTTACATCATGTTCAGGATATTCAGACTAAGAGAGTAGAGAAGCACGGGTCAAAAGTAGCTCCCAGCTGAATAATTTTATGTAATACTGTGAAATTTTATGGCTGGGCATGGTGATGCATGCCTATAGTCTCAGCTACTCGGGAGGCTGAGGCAGGAGGAATGCTTGAGCCCAGGAGTTTGAGGTTGCTGTGAGGTATAATAATGCCACTGTATACTAGCCCAGTTAACAGAACAAGACTGTCTCAGGAAAAAAAAAATAGTATATGCCTGAAAAACTAGATAACATGCTCACATGAAAATATTAGTGAACAAAAACAAGCTTGTCAGTTCCTAGCAAAAAGAGGGTACCTGCTCACCACTAATGCTTTTGGTTATGCCAACAGTTCATATGATCATGCCTGGTAATTTCTGGTAACTTCAGAAATTTATTTACCAAGGATATTTATAACACTGTTAATTATTAATGTCTTAAAAGAAAAATACCTTCAATGCTAAGCCAAGTTCTTTATTTTCATCTGTATATGGAGGTTTCCAAAGTTGAATCCTGTCTTCCCTTAAAAACTGAGTTAATTTTGCTTGAAGATATTTCTTTTGTGCCATCCTTCAAAGCAAAACAGTACAACAATAAAATCCATATTTCAAAATGTTTTATAACTTATGTATATGTTGGTGTTTTATAGAGTAAACAGAGTTCAACTCCACCCCTTCCTCTCCAGTTTAAACTAAATTACTCAGGTTTTAATGAGTTCCAGACTTATCTAAAACACACACACGTATATACATATATAAACATATATTATGTATTCTATTATACATATTGTTTGTAATATAAGACGTATATATCAAAGTTGTTAATATAGTAACAAGTTTTATTTTTTATTTCCTTTTTTTTTTTTGAGTCTTACTTTGTTGGCCTCAGTAGAGTGCCATGACATCACAGCTCACAGCAACCTCAAACTCTTGGGCTCAAGTGATTCTCTTGCCTCAGTCACCTGAGTAGCTGAGACTACAGGCGCCCACCACAATGCCTGACTATTTTTTAGAGACGGGGTCTCGCTCTTGCTCAGGCTGGCTTTTTTCTTTCTTTCCTTTTTTTTTTGTTGTTGTTGAGAGCAAGTCTCACTATGTTGCCCTCAGTAGAGTGCCACGGAGTCACAGCTCACAGCAACCTCAAACCCTAGAGCTTAAGCTATTCTCTTGCTTCAGCCTCCAAGTAGCTGGCACTACAGGAGCCTGCCACAATGGCTGGCTATTTTTTGTTGCAGTTGTCTTGTTGTTTAGCTGGCCTGGGCCAGATTTGAACCAGCCAGCCTCAATGTATGTGGCTGGCACCTTGAACGCTGTGCTTTTTTGTTTCTTAAACTGCCATTATTCTCTGATCTAAGAGAAAAGAGAAAATTAAAGATAGGATCCCCCTGGCTCAGCACCTGTAGCTCAGAGGTTATGGCACCAGCCACATACAGTGAGGCAGGTGGATTCGAAACCAGTCCAGGCCTGCTAAGTAACAATGACAACTGCAACAACAAAAAATAGCTGGGTGTTGTGGCAGGCACCTATAGTCCCAGCTACCTGGGAGGCTGAGGCAAGAGAATCACTTAAGCTCAAGAGTTAAGAGGTTGCTGTGAGCTGTGACGCCAGGTTACTCTACCGAGGGTGACACAGTGAGACTCAGTCTCAAAAAAATAAATAAATAAAATAAAGATAGGATCCCCCAAACAGTGAACTTCTTTATGTAACTCAATATAGAGCTTGTAAATTCTAACACAAAAGACCAACTACCCCCATAGTTAAACATAAAGAAAAGCTAGCTTGAACTATAAACTATCAATAGTAAACATTCTCTATATCTGAATTTTTTAATTAAAGAAGTCTATACTACTAGAAAAGTTTTATAAGATACCTTATGATAACAGCGCAATACCACATTTACATATACTATTTGAATCTAACACTGGTTGGATTGTTTTACAGCTGAGTCCCCAGGCTGGTAAAATGACTTGGCCAATGTCACAAAAGTAGGCCCCAGCATAGCTAGCACTAGGGCTTCCGCCTACACATTGGACTCTGTACTTTGTCATAGAACCCCTTGCTACCTGTCTGTTCTGTGTAATTTCCTAGAGAAGCACATGCTACAGTGGAGTCGCCTACTCATCCTCACCAAAACAGCAATTCAAAGGCATGGGTGAGGTTACTAAGAGACGTGAAACAGCTGGCAGGTGTAGTGCAGCCAGATCAGATAAGTATTAAGAAAAGTGGCTCGGCGCCTATAGCTCAACCGGCTAAGGCGCCAGCCATGTACACCTAAGGTGGTGGGTTCGAATCCCCAGCCCGGACCCGCCAAACAACAATGATGGCTGCAACCAAAAAATAGCCAGGCGTTGTGGCGGGCGCCTGTGGTCCCAGCTACTTGGGAGGCAGAGGCAGGAGACTCACTTGAGCCCAGGAGTTGGAGGTTGCTGTGAGCTGTAATGCCACGGCACTCTGCCCAGGGGGACAGCTTGAGACACTGTCTCAAAAAAAAAAAAAAAAAAAGAAAAGAAAAGTAAAAACTGGCTCGGTGCCTGTGGCTCAAGCAGCTAAGGCGCCAGCCACATACACCTAAGGTGGCGGGTTCGAATCCAGCTTGGGCCCGCCAAACAACGATGGCTGCAACCAAAAAATGGCCAGGCATTGTGGCGGGTGCCTGTAGTCCCAGCTACTTGGGAGGCTGAGGCAGGAGACTTGCTTGAGCCCAGGATTTGGAGGTTGCTGTGAGCTGTGACGCCATGGCACTCTACCCAGGGGGAGAGCTTGAGGCTCCGTCTCAAAAAAAAAAAAAAAAAAGAAAGAAAAGTAAAAACTCACTAGCTCCTGAATGATGAAAACAAGCTCTAGCAAGTGGATTATAAATATACATACATATATAAATGTATATGAGTCATTATAACCCAGATAAATAACTTTTACTTTTCTATTGAGGACCACATCCTCCCAAACCCAATTCACCTGGTTTTTAAACCACATTTGGTGACTTAATTGTATTCTACAAACAAATACTTTTTTTTTTTTTTTTCCAGTTTTTGCTGGGGCTGGGTTTGAACCTGCCACTTCTGGCATATGGGGCTGGAGCCCTACTCCTTGAGCCACCAGCGCCACCCAATAGATACTTTTTTAAAAGAAAGTTCAAATCTATTTGATGTCAGAAATAGGGTAATTTGGATAGAGAGGAAAAATGGATGAAGGAATATACAGTCAAGGAGGGCACTATGTGTATCTTGGGTGACCCATGAGAGAATCCTAGATTTTCAAGGATAAACTGCTTATCGCAACAAAGCACATTAGTATTTATGAGCATTAGCTCTTCAAACACAAATAACATGAAAGGCCATTTTACATACTAATAAATCCTCAGAATAAAATATCACAGCAGCCCCACTAGGTGTGAACACTTTCATTCTCCCGCAGTTTACTGGAGCCCAGCAATTTTAAAGACTGATATAGCAGCTCTCAGAAACCCCATCCAAGCCACCACTTGGCAAAAGAACCAAGGAGTGGCACAAACCTACTCTGTGTTAGACACTCCGGGAAGCACAGAAACAGCTCCAGGATCTACGGGGTAAGATTGAATGTTTAAAAAAAATTAAGACACTGTCTTTAAACTTACAAACTTCAGTTGCAGACAACAGAATAGTGAGGACACATTTTAAATAAGTCAAAAGAAAAAAGATTATTAAGTTTTCCATTTTAACTGGAGAAAACAAAGTTTCAAGCATGCCATACAACCAATGTTCCACATTACAATCAAGAAAAGGCAAAATTACTTGACATTGTTGCTCCAAACTGGAAGTGAAAAGTTATAAATCAATCTTTTAAAATTTTCACTTTCACTTTTGTAATAAATCAAATGACGCTACCTTAAGCTAGAGCTTTTCAACTGTATGTGCATACATATATTCACAATACATTACATTTTCTTTCAGGCAAATACAGAGGAAAAGAAAAGATTCTTGTATTAAAAAGTAAAAGAGAAAGAGGTGAGAAATACAGAATCAGGTCAAGATTTGAAAAAAATCAAATGTTCATTAAACAGCAAAGAAATTCTGGCTTTGCTTGCAAATAAATCCCAAATGGTGTATTTGGAGTGCTATGATTCAAGCATTTTGTTCGGCTAACTTGATTCATTTTTACAAACATACTTATGCCTGTCTCCCCCAAATACAACCCTCAATCTTTTTTTAACATACTCCACCATCCCCGCCCAACCCAGCGCAAACCTAAGGGCTCCCGAACCGCCAGTGCATCCAGAAGCCCGGCCCGGTCCGGGCCCGGCTCCTGCCAGTCTGCGCGCAGGGCCGCTCACCCCGCCGCTGCCGCCGCGCCCCGCCAGGCCGAGAGAAGTGTCCAGCCGCGCTGGGAACCCAGGCGCCCAGCCGAACCCCGTAGGCCGGGTCCAGGAGGCTTGACCGCCGCCTCGTCACCTGCGCCACCACCGCTCCCGCTACGACCTGCCGAGTGCCCGGATGAGGCAGTGGCGGCCGCCGTTTGTTTTCATTCCGGGTAAGGCCGGCCCCGCCCCCGCCGCCCGGAAGGAGATTGTGGGCGGGGCTAAGGAGAAGGGTCCGGAGTGGGCGAGGGTCGTGGGCGGGGCAAGGATGGGACGTGGAGCGGACCAAGCG